AGAACAACATGAAAGAAAAAAGAACGAACGAAAGAAAAAATTCATCACATATATATGACAGGAACGAAAAAGACGAAAAACATAAATGCATATTTATAATCATATACATGGACGAGCTCTTTTATGCGGGCTAAAATCGTAAAAAATCGCCAACAAACAGCTCTAATAAACGGATCGCTCCCGTATCCGAAGCTCTGAAAAGCGGACTTTGTCACAATGTAAAATGCATTACGAAAAAACGGCTCTCAAAAGTGGAGCTCTTATAAGTGGATTTGACTGTATCTCTCTAAAACTATTATTGAAAACTACCATTAATGTTTTGTTCTATTTGTAGTTCTATTAACGCTAGCATTAAGTGTTTACTTAAAGATCGATACAAAGAAGTGTAGAAAATGAAACTGTATATTTTTCTTACTGAAGAAATACTTTCTTCACACATGCATGCACTTTAATAAATAGTTTTAGAAAAATTTGTGTCATAATTTGTTAACAACATATAATTACCGTTAGTCTTCTATCATTTGACGCAAGTTATGCATTGTACCATTACATAAATTCTCTATAATAGTCTCAGAGATGAGAGGGACAGCACCACCACAAGCAACCGTCAATATTCCGTTGACAGTTTGAAGCATAAAAACTGGCATGACTGCTCGGATCAAATTACCGATAGGAGTCATCTCTGTAAGTTTCCATTTGCCATACTGTTCATGGAAAGGCAAAAGTCCCCAGTTTGTAATTACAGTAGTCGGAAGGTGTGCAATATCAATTGGACCTATGTTCTTCTGATAGATTTTCCCCATAACCATAGCCAGTGCAAGAATATGTCCGGCATCAACTGATTTATTCACATGATGTCCGAACGTTTTTGCAAGTTGCCACATACCTTTTGATTCTGTTGGCGTATCTCTTGTAGCCATTGTAAATCCCATGACTCCTGAAACTTGATAGCTGAGATCATGATTCGGTACTGGTGGTATACATCTTCTGCGAGTATCAGCTGGAATTGCCAAGACCAAATTTGTCATCTGATTATTATCAACACTCGCTAGTGTAGATGTAATGCATAAAATGGCACTGCTAATAGCTGATGTAACTGTTACGTCCTCTCGTCGACACGTTTCAAACAGCTTTTTTGTCTCTTCCTTAGTCAACATACCATAACGAGTTTCAGTATGACAATACTTATGCATGTCATCTAACGAGAAATCGACATTTGTCCAAGGTAGTCTTGCAGTAGGTTGAGAACTAGTAGCTTTCCAGTACAAGAAAGCAAGAGCAAGTTTACTAAATGCGATTAGTATTCCCCATCTTGAGAGACTTTGACGAGCAGCTACTTCCATAGTAATTGGCCAATTTAATGAATGACTCGTCATACTTATACTATTATCACTTAAAGCAATTAAGAGTTCGTGTGCAACAGTACTAAGAGACACACCATCACAAATGCTATGATCGCATACGATCACTATTTCTCTTGGACTATCCTCGATGTTCTGATCGGTTGCATCCTAAAAAGTACGACATATATTCTAAAAATGATCAGTGAAACCTTTCTATACCTGTAAAAGCCAAAATTCAGCAAGTCCTTGTCCAATGACTATTGTATCTTTCTCTCTTTCTTTCCATGCTTGACGCCAGAAATGAAGATGATCAGCATTCTTTCGTGCTATTTCTAGAATCTTGAGACAAAGTGTGTCGTCTTCCTCCATTAGATAACTGTCTGGCTCTGTAGAACTAATTTGTAAACGACTTCGAAGAAAAGGATGACGACATTGTAGACGACTAATCACTGAAGATAGTGTCTCTAATGAAATGTATGGACCTTGTAAGTGTAAAACTTGACCAGCTTTCTGATAGCCTTGAAACTGTTGTGAGATCCTCAGGATACCATTTTCTGCTGGACCAAGAAGTCGTTGTTTTGGTTCAAAACTAGACGGACTATCATGTGATTTAGATAACATTCGTAATCTAGTTAACTATTTTGAAAGAAATATGAATTTCAAATACTGTTAATAAAACGATTCAACTAGAATAGATCATTATTAAATAAATAGTAAACTTAATAACAAAAGTGAAAAGTTATTAGTATTTCAAAAAAAGATATACATAACTAAAAAACTATCGTTGATGAAAAGAGTTTTCATTTGTGAGAAACTATTTGTTTCTCCTACGCTACAAAATTTTATATATAATTTTTAAAAGTGCTGAAACGGAGAAAAATTAAATTAGTTATGAGATACATACTATTGAATACAAGTAAAAAAATAGAAGAGAGTAACAACAGTTGATGATTGGATTGAGAATGTAAAATGACAAAATTTATCATGGTCATAGCTAAGTCAGCTACATGAGTAACATAAGGCATATATGCGTATTATTATTTATTATCAACTCAATTTTTTTTGCCACGTCGCATAAACAGAAGAACGCACAATGTTGATAAGAAACTAAACATTGTATGGAGGAGAATAAAAATGTCGTGTACGTCCACATACTCATATTTAATCATCACTATCGAGTCAGACAAGCCTTAAAAGAAACGATGTTTTTACGCATACAAACGTCATTCTTTTCTCGGTCTTGCTGGAAAACATAGAAAGAGGAAAACGTAGAAAAAAAATAGAAAAGGAAAAGGTAGAAGAGGAAAATATAGAAAAGGGAAACGTTGAAATGATTGATCAGTTTTTTATGCATGTTAAGTAGTATATTTATTAGGTTATAAGAAAATTGATAATGTAATAAAATCTTATTTTTTTTCTTTCCAATTAACAGTGAGAAGCTTATCAATAACTCTTTCGCGTTAATTTTCTTTTTGGAAGATCTGTTACATAGAGTATCAAATCGCGCCTGAAAAGTTTTTGTTTTTGTTGATTGTTTTGGTGCAGACGCACCAGCATCAAGTTGAAGTGAAATATGCTCAAAACGAGTATGTTCACTTTGTATCAATTTAAGTTTGTTGCCATTTAAATTGTATGTATATTTATAATACGAGAAAATTTTCTTTGTTGAATGAAAATTAGTATATGCTAGTTACAGGAGTGACCAATAAAAACGAAAACAGTTAAATTTTTTATACTGTAGTCTTTTAAAGTTCCTACGTTTTCCTTCTTTCAATTTTTGCTATCTACGTTTTCCTCTTTTGTTTTTTTTTCTAAAATTTTCTCTTTCTATGTTTTCCTACAACACCCTTTTCTCGAAGCTTATCTAACTAGGTATAGTGATTAGAAAAATTCATTTTATGTGATGATTCTCCCAACTTTGGTCGACAGTAAAAATGTCGAAGTCTAAAAAGATCGAACGAAAAATGTCGAAAATAAAATGTCGAAGTATAAAGATGTCGAAATATAAAAATATCGAAGTAAAAAATGCCGAAGTATAAAAATGTCGAAGTGAAAAATGTCGAAGTATAACAATATCGAAGGATAAAAATATCGAAGAAAAAAAGTCGAAATATGAAAATGATAAGATTTTGGGTGTTCGAAACAACTTAGTGGTAAAAATTAAGAAAGACGTTTGAGAGTGGGTGTGAGTATCAGTGCAAATATAAACATTCATCTGTATTTAGCCATACCCACATCCATACAGTCCCCCACACCCACACCCTCACCCTCACCCACACCCTCACCCTCACCCACACCCACACCCTCACCCTCACCCACACCCTCACCCTCACCCTCACCCACACCCTCACCCTCACCTTCACCCTCACCCACACCCATATCCACACCCATCCTTCGACATTTTTATATTTCGACTAATTTCAAATTCGACATTTCTACCCTTCGATATTTTAATATTTCGACTATTTTCAATTCGATATTCTTACATTCGACATATGTCTAATTTTTTTTCGACATTTTTACCTTTCGATCTTTATATACTTCGACATTTTAGTTTTTCGACCAAAGTTGGGATTACCGTTGTCATTATTAGTAACGTTATTAAATCTTTGTCTGCGAATGACTTCGCATGAGGTCCACAGTGATTTTCTAGTATTTTGGAACATATAGGTTTCTATATAATTTCAGCTTTCATAAAGGCATTGATCATAGATTTTATTGGCATGATCCGATTATTTTATTCTGATAATCGTTTCCGTCTCTATTGAAATTAGGTAGGTTTATTTGATGTATATATATATATATAGAAATGGCGACGTCATTCCATCTATATCCTCTTGGGTTCTACATATGCTCAAGTGTTTTCCATTTTTTTTCTCGTTCTCTTCTTACGTCATATACGTATAGCAAAAGGAAATTTTAAGTTTCTAAAAAAAGCCTGCAACTAACGCACTAAATTAAAATACAGTCGTTCAATATGCTTCTGTATTTCAATATTTGTTAGTATGGTAATTAATATAACAACACTATTTTTTATTTTGAAATTAATTTCATTACAAAAAAATACTTCTATAAATTGAAACGATATTTTTTCCATGTTGCATATTTTGATAATGACTAATAATTAACAAATTGAGATATTCGAATTTTGTCTTAAATAGAAAAAATATTTTAACAAAAAGTTAATTGAAAACTAACATGATAGCTTCGACTGTAAATCTTTTCTTACATTTTCATCCATGAAGTTCTGATGTTTTTCTAACTTAAGCTGATGAGTAAATAAATAAAGACTATGTTGCCATCGTTCGTCGAACGGGAGAAAATGATATTCATACGCATTATATATAAAAACACAGATTGCTAAAAGTAAATCATAAATGTTTCTTATTATTTCAACGCATTTCTTTTCATTCGACTAACGTTTAGATATATTTGTTCAATTTGAACATTTAAATATAATTAGTTAGAAATCATTTCTTTTTTTTTTATGGATAGACTAAATTCTATTAAGATTAAAATAATAATATACAAAGGAAATCCGAATGTCAATAGAGGAAAAGCGATAAAACTAAATAGGTTAAAAATAACTTTTTTCTTAAATGAGTGGGTAGGTGTATAATAGTTTTTTTTTGATAATATCGATATTAAAACAATGCCATGTCGTCATTAACTATGACACCTTATCAGAATTTGCAAGCTGATGAAAAAAGTAATAATTATGAACTACGTAAAGCATATCGTGAACGAATTCTTGAATTTAAAATCGATCGACAAAAATCACCTGAAAATCGTCAAATTACATCTGAAAAATTTCGACAAATTTGCCGTGCTTATGAAACGTTATCCGACCATGACAAACGACAACAATATACTGATCGAAAAGAATGGATTTCTGATTTATCTATCTCGAAATATACATTTCAACAATTAGCAGCCGAACCTGATCTTATATTAGAATTAAAACAACAATTCAAAAATGCTAAATTAAGACAAATGAACGCTCAAGATCTAGTAACAAAGCAAACGCCATTATATTGTGCAGCACGTGTTTGTAATATTGATGCTGTAAATTATTTAATTGAACAAGATGTCAATCCTGATTTAATACAACGAACAGGAAGTACACCTTTACATGCAGCGACATTCTTTGGACATGAAGAAATCGTAAGATGTCTATTAGAAAGTGGTGCTAATTATGGAATAAAAAATAAATCTGGTAATTTACCTGAACAAGAATCTTATAATAATAATGTTCGAAAAGTTTTTATTGAATTAAAACAAACATTATTTGTACGAACAGCTAATAATCAGCTTGAATGGTTTAAAAATAATATTAATAATATTTCAAATCATATTGATTTACAATATTATATTCAACGACAAACATTACTTCATTGTGCATGTAAAAAAGGTTATTTTGATCTTGCGAAATGTTTCATTGAACAATATTCAGCTAATCTCGATTTAGTTGATATTAATTTAAATTCAGCTCTTCATCTTGCGACACATAATGGACATACAGAAATTGTTAAATATCTTCTTAATAAAGGTGCTAATTCAACTTTAATTAATAAATGGGGTATGACAGCTGAACAAGAAAGTATTGTACATGATACGCGAGTAATTGAATTATTTCGATCTATACGTGAAAAAAATATGTTTGAAATGGCACGAAATGGTATAGTTTGGTGGTTTGAATATTATTTTAATGATCATTCACCAAATGAAATTGATAGTAATGGTACAAGTTTACTTTATGTCGCATGTCGTTTTGGTCACACATCTGTTGCAAAATGGCTTTTAGATAAAGGTGCATATATAAATGTACAGCTACGTGAAAAACGTAGTACACCATTGCATGGCGCTGTATTTCATGGTCATTTATCAACAGTTGAATTATTACTTACACGTGGTGCGGATATTAATATTAAAAACCAATTTGATGCGACAGTTTTCGATGAAGTTAAACGAGATGATATAAAAAAAGTTTTAAAACTGTATCGAGATAATTTAGCTGATGATAAAATTCTTTCTGTACATTTATTTGGTGATGGAAAAAGTTCAGGCAATGAACCATTAGTAAAAGTACAATTACATTATGATGCGACAATTAATGATCTAATTAAAGCAATACCAGATCCATTATGTAATGAATATCGATGGTTTTCAATTGCTCGAAGTCCTTTAGATTTTGATTATGAAAAAACGACATTAATATCAGCTGTATGTCGTGCTCGTTATGTCAACATAAAATTTATAGATTTACCATTATGTCTTATAGGTTATAATTCACCACGCTATATAAATAGTGGTTATACAGTAAGAAATGAATGTCCTAGTCTTAATTTACGTACTTTACATAATGCATTTCGTTTATCACGTAACAAAAGATTACTTCATATTACAGCGAAATTAAATGAGCAACAAAAATTTACTGTTAAAAATTTATTATTTAGTTTTGCTCCTAATTGTGCTGATAGTAATATTTCAATTGAGATTAATAATATTTTTCCACCGGATATTGAACAATTTCAATTACCTGAAAGTATTTGTATATTTCAAACAACGTATAGAAATCAACATGATAAATTAAAAGATATGCCAACTGTGACAATCTCTAATGAATCGAATATAAAATTGTATACATGGTTTTCAAATTCTGGATATTGGTTTTCTCATAGTAGTCAACATAATCGTTTACCTCGTATTGGTGGCATACATGCTCTTATTCGTTCAGTTGAAATTATTCCTAAATCACTCTATCTTCTACCGGATATGTTTATTCAAGCTACTGCTGGACAACTATTTCAAGCACGTCAAATTCCAGTAGCCTGTCTATATTTAAAAATATGCGATCCTGATTTACAACATTTTCCACATATAGCTTATCATGGTACCTCTATTAATGCTATACAATCGATACTTATGGATGGACTTGTAATGCCAAGTACAGTTGTCTCTAGTGGTTTTCGGGCCTGTCCACCTTCGAATCATATAGCACGAGGGACAGTAGCTTTTGGGATTTCGGATTTTGCCAATGCAATATTTGTTAGTCCAAGTATACATTATTGTTTAGATTCAGTCTATGCTGTTACATTTTCCTATGATGATCAACGTATGATTGCTGTACTAGAATGTCGAGTAAAGGAAAATGAATTTTGTACTTTTCCATGTACTGTAAAAGCATATGTGGCACATCCAGACGATGATTTAAAAGCTATTGAGTGGCGTATCACAAGTCCAGCAGCTATTCAAATAACTGGCATCCTATTCATTCCAGTAATCAAGTCACGAATAGAAGCTGCACGTTTACGAGCTGATAAATTAGAAGTAAATCCGAATGATCTGAAATAATATTTATTTCTAATTCTTTTCGTACTTTTTTGGTTCATATAATTGAGAGTTGGTGTGATTACTCTACTCACATCCACAGCAGAAACATTTATTTCTTTTCTTTTTTCTTTTGATAAAAGTGAAAATATAACACCACTGACACGTTACTATCTTTCTTCTTATTATCTTCCTCTTTTCATTTGCATTGTGAATCTCGTATGGCACAAATAAACTACTGAATAAAAACAAACTGTTATGAGGCAAGTTTGAATGTAAGATTACGTGAAAAATATCTTGTGATGATTGACTCTCGTATTTTCTTAGTTTAATGGGTTCATATATTATAATTATTCGTTTTGGAATTTATCGAATACGCGAAGAGTAGGGTGTGTGGGTGTGGGTATTCTATTCTTTCAACACCCACACCCTGACAAGCAACTGCCTAACGAGCAAGTGTCCTTTCGAGTAACTGTCCGACGAGCAAATGTCAGCGCGCAACTGTCCTAAACCCGTTGATATGAATCAATATGACTGTTAGTAATTTTTATTCATGTAACATATCTAACGGTAAGTGCAAATATTATCTTTATTCCTGACCTTTCATCAATGGACATAATAATATAGCACTTGTAATTTGAAAATACACCTCAAACATACAAGTTAGAATACTATCTAGCTCAATTCTGTTAGAACAATGCCTTTCCAACTACAACAGTCAAAATCTGTTTCGGGCGTGATAATGAAATGAAGAGAAATTACGTATACACGTAAATGTGTCGTCGCATTCGATTAAAATTTTCTTAATTTATTTCATTGATATTCTATAAGGATTTGATCAATACTATAGAATAAATGCACTTTGAGTTTATTTCTGCTTGTATATATTTTAAAGCTCCAACTATAAGACAAACAATAAGCACATATAACATAAAAATCGTTGACTTCTATTTTGTTTCGATTATTTTCTCAACATCATCTAATATAAGTGTAAGCTCAGTTAGTTCAACAAGTGAATCAGTATTATTATTATGTGAACTAAAATTTTGTATAGGGATCATGAGCATAGTACAAGTCATAAGCCAATGTATGATATTATGAAAATATTTGACAGCTTCATACCAACCATAGCTATAAATAAGATATTTCCATGTAACTTCTGCATATTTATTTTGAATATGAAATATTGCAGAAGAATTTGTTGAATCTGTTAAAATATTTGGAGAATATAAATAAGTAGTTTTTGATAAAGCAAATAATGAAAGTGCTAATTTAAATATTACAATATCTGAAATAATAAATTTCATTGCCCATAGAGAAAGAGAGACTGGACGATTGCCATATATTGCTATTAGAATTTTTAAAAAAGAATCTAGACTAAATAAATCAAAATGATGTGTAATAAATGCAGAAGCCATGCAAGATACATTATCTGCAGCATTACGAAGTAAAATGGAACGATCACTAAATGATAATTTACAAATATCATCATTCAAACAAAGATATCTTCCTGTTGTTTCATAAAGAGATGATAAATAATTTTCTACAAGTTTTTGATATGTCACATTCATTGGCTGTAAAGAATTATGTGTATCTACTAAAGATTTACCAAGTAATGAAAGTTGAGATTCATCAAAACTATTATATAAATTTGAGAGAAGTGTCCATTGACTACTAGTTAATAATGAATGATCTGGTTTTAAAGAATTTAATATTGATAACTAACAAAAATAAATAAGAAAAACATTTTGTATATTTTTATTATCTTACTTTTTCTGATTGATATCGTGGTTCTATTTTAACCAATGATTTCTTCGATCGTGATGCTCGAAATTTGTCAGTAGTCATTCCATATTGAAAACATTTCCTAAGTCGACATGATGCACACATATGATGATTATCTCGTTTTATTTCACAATAGCCATCAAAATTACATTTAAATATTTCCTAAATCAAACGAATAATTTTTATTTAAAAATTGAAAAAAAATAATCAAAAGTCACTTGTTCAATATTAGCATTTCGTTTAAAAAACATTTTACATGAACTACATGAAATAACGCCAAAATTTACATATTGAGCAGGAGCGCCACATATTCGACATTCAGATAAATTTTGTTTTTTTGTTGATGGAATATTTAACTTTGCATTTGTAGTTAACATTTTTATTTGTGTTCTAAAAATATGATATGTTATTGAATTCAATACGTTCAGATAATTATGAAAGGGATAAGAAAAAAATACAACTTGTTTATATAAAAAAAAAAAGAAAATGTTATTGATGCGACGTGCTGTTATCCTTACCTTCTACACAGAATGAAAAAATGTCTTTTTGATCCCATAATTTGTACTCCACATACTTGTGTTATTTTCTTGCACAAAAGACAAAATTAGTGTCTTCTTTACTTTCTTCATTTATTTTCTCGTCGTTTCTCTTAAGTTTTGCATTTTATATATTGGAAATATCTCTTTACTGTCAGTAGACAACGATCTGCAGAAATTGATCTGTTTCACTATATAACCTCATTTTTTAATATAAATTTATTAAAGACAGTAATAGACAATATAATTAAAATATTATAAGCGAATATAAAACTTAATCTCCAAAAGTTGATATTATACACGTAGACAATATCTTTATGAATAACATTCTTTTATAATTATAAATATTCCTTATGGAATTAAAAGATTACAACAATATTTATATCTAGAGAAAAAAAAGCTTTGCTATTTAAAGTTTTATATTGAAATTCATTCATCAGTTTTTAATAAATAATTATTTATATATAGAATAGCAAACAAATTTTTTTTATTTCACCATTATCAAACCAAGTGAAAAGGGAAATGGTGAGACCTTAGAAGTATGCACTTCAAAAAAGTTTTAAAGTAGATGAAGTTTCGTTCTATCCCTTTTGATGGAAATCCATTTTATGTTGCAAATATTTTGAAAGAATTCAATTCATCAAGTGAATAATTTTTATGTAAACAAATTCCGACTCTCTATTTTATATTAAATAAAATTATACTTGAGAATTTGTAGCTAATCAAATCTGATGTATCATTTCAGTAAGTCGGAGTAATATATATGAAAGCATAGGCGGTGGAGCCTTTAGGCCTGGGTAGGCTCGATCTCATGGGAAAAGTTTCTATTGTAGTTTATTTTACATACTCCGATAGATGTCTTATTGTTACAAGTGTTAAGTAGAATATGGTTTCGATCGTTAATAAGTTTATTGACAATCACATAAAACGATGGTAAATAATAAGATAGAAGATCGTATGTTAAATTACATAAAATGCGGTCTATATATGAGAGAGTGACTATCTAGGTAAAACAAGAGATAGATATAACATATTATAAGATATCATATCTTAGCAAAGAGATCCAGATATAAGATATCATATATGATATCAAGAGAGATGATATCCCAATATATATGATATCTGAAGAGATACATCCAGGTAAAAGATGATATCGAGAGATAAAGTAGTACCTGGATTTGTTAGAAGATATTACAACATAACACAAGATTAGTGTACACTTTCTCCACTATCAACTTGTGTCCACTGAAGTGTTTATATGGGATTTTGCTAGTGTGGTATCTGTATCTGCATCGATATCGAGTTGTTTGTTTTTTGAAATCCAGAGTTGAATGCAAGGGGAAAAATACGTACTTCTGCACTTCAAGTGAATTTGAGCTACTTTATGCTACTCTGCACTACTCTAAGCGACTTTACGCTACTTTTGAGCTACTTTACGCTGCTTTGTGCTACTTTGACCTACTTTACGCTACTTTAGACTATTTTACGCTACTTTGTGCTACTTTGAGGTACTTTGTGCTACTTTTAGCTACTTTTGGCTACTTCGAGTTAGTTTGAAGCGCTATGTGCTGCTATTACATATTTTGAGCTATTTTTGTACCTTGCACTACTTTGTATTTGAAATTAATTCTACGTACTTTGAACTACTTCGGTCTACTTTGGACTACTTTTTTACTTTGAACCACTTTTGAATTTTGAGCTAATTTGAACTAGTTTCGTGCTTCGAGCTATTTTGCGCTGCTTCCTTCCACTTCTACGTATTTTAAACTACTTTGATACTTTACAGTACTTTATGCTTTAAAGTACGCATTTTCCCCCTTGGTTGAATGATTAAACTCCATTAAAAAAGAATTGAAAATCTGTGATAATCACACACTTTTAATCGATTTTAATCAGAAATAACTGGAAAAACTAAATTTTTCTTGATTATTATGATGAACTGCGATTATAATCAATTAAAAGTTCATGAAAAAAGTTGAGTATAATTGATGAAAATGGGTTTCAATTTGTTCATTTTGTATCGGGCAAAAGTTAGTTAAAATCAAATTTTTGCATGAACTGCTAATCGATTTTAATCTCAATTCATCGTAATAACCAAGGAAATTTTGATTATTTTGGTTGTTTGTGATTAAAAGCGTATGATTGTGACAAATTTTTGGACATTTTTTGGTTAATTTTCTCGTCAAAGTTCTTTATATAGGAATGTCGGCTAAATAAAGTCAGATTATATCTTTTTAAAGTAAAAAACTAAGACTAGTAATAGTTCTGAGTATACACAAAGAAAAGTTAGGTGTACTTGATTTGAAATGCATCCGTTCTGGTTTTATCTTAAAAAACCAAAGTTGAAAGACTTTTTTTGAGCACGAATAGTTTCGTTTTTTGACCATTGTCAAGCAGTATTTCTATATTACACTGTGAATTCATATTTTTTTCTTGGAAAATAAAGTATCATGTAGTTATTAAATTTCAATAATAACTAAAGTCAACAAGAAAGACTAAACGATTCACAGTTAAAAAAATCTTTGTATAATTTGCTGTCCGGAATGATTCATTTGGAAAATATAGCCGACCCGAAAATGAAATCGTTTCGCCGTCCATGTCTACAACATATATTTACACAAACAAACGGATCTATGGTATATTCTTTCGATTAATTCATATCTTCTATTAAAACAGCAGAGAATGAATGAAGATAGAATAGAT